GGCAGAAGAACCTGGCTGTAAAGCATCTGTTTATCACCTGGCCTTGTGGGTAGCTTGCAAACCAAATGAGGTCAGCAGCAGCCTTGACATTGGACCTCCCCTTATCACTGGCTGCTGAGCCAGTGCCCGGCCAGCACGAGCCTGGAAGTCTCTGATGCCAAGGAGAGGCATTACTAATTAAAGAGCTGATCAGGGCCTGACCTGCTAGCATGACTGCCCTGCTTTCTGGGCGTGGAATCTGAAGGGCAGCCAGTAGCTGGAGTATCGGAGCGGGAGAGGCCGTTCACTCTTCTCTCTGGCCAGGGAGCGTCCTTGTGAAGACCGGCTTCTCAGATCGGCGGTTCTCCCGCTTTCCGGGTCGTGGGTCCCTGGGACGGCCTGATGAGCCAGTGCAGCCTTGTGAAAATCATCTCCTTAACTGGATAAGATGTGAAGGGGCCGATTCTGGGGAAAGTTACAGGTCCTGCTCACTGAGCCTGGCCTAGGTCTTCATGCAGGGAGAGGCTGCCATCTTCAAAGTCTCTTCTTTCCTCCTCCCAGGTTTGGCTCTTTTGAGATTTTTAAACCTCCAGATGAACACACAGGGCGGAAAGGCCCTAGCGTGGGCCGGAATGACATACGGATACAAATGCTCGACTACGTCATCAGCAGTTTTTACCCAGAAATCCAGGCTGCCTTTGCAGAAGACAGTGTGCAGAGGAACGCAGCCTTTTTCCGGGAGGTAGGTAGGCTGGGGGAGGGGGGCTCCAGGGTCCTGAAAGAGCACGTGTAGCTTTTCCCTCCCTCTTCCTGGCACACCGTTAGAGGCCTGGCGGAGGCTCCGGAACCCCTCTGCAGCCAGCTTCCCGCAAGGGACGGCAGCCTCAGGACGTCAGCCATGGGTCCCTCTCACCTTGGGCCAGCCTGGCCGAGCGGTCGTCCCCAGGTTCCCTCTGTGGCCTCTGCCAGGGCTGGAGCAGAAGCAGCTGTCTCCCCTGCAGATCCCAGAGGACAGCGGGTTTCTCTGAAAACCCCATTAGAACAAACCAAGGACAGACAGAAAAGACGAGGAGCTGTTTGTTTTCAGTAGGCCCTTAAAGTGTTGCTGAAGCCCTGGGCACCTTTATTAAGTGCCTACCGTGTAGCTGGCACAGCGTGTACGTCAGTAAATACAGCAGACACACAGGAGCTCTGGGGAGGGGGCAGAGATTAGGAAAGGGCTCAGGGAGCTCGGGACTCTGGGAGGCAGAGAGGGCAGCCCCCGGTGGTTCTCGTGTGGGCAGGGAGGAGAAGAAAGGAGAGAGAACAGGGCAGCCTGGAGGTCTGAGCCCCGCTCCCCTCGGCCAGGTCACACGGCGCACGGCGCGGCTGGTGGCCGACTGGCAGTGCGTGGGCTTCTGTCACGGCGTGCTCAACACGGACAACATGAGCATCGTGGGGCTGACCATCGACTACGGGCCCTTTGGGTTCATGGACAGGTGAGGCGCCGCGCCCCAGGGACACCCCCGCTGGCGCTCTGGGGGCTGCCCTGACAGGCGGCTCGCCATACCTCCCCGCCAGGTACGACCCCGACCACATCTGCAACAGCTCTGACACGTCGGGTCGCTATGCGTACAACAAGCAGCCTGAAGTGTGCAAGTGGAACCTTCAGAAGCTGGCTGAGGCCCTGGTGCCCGAGCTGCCCCTGGAGGTCAGCGAGCCCATCCTCCAGGAGGAATATGACGCCGAGTTCGAGAAGCACTATTTGCACAAGATGAGGCGGAAGCTGGGCCTGATCCGGCTGGAGCTGGAGGATGACCGGGAGCTGGTGTCCGCCCTTCTGGAGACCATGCACCTCACGGGTCAGTGGGCAGGGCTGCTGGGGGGTAGCGGAGGACGTCTGAGGAAGTGAAAAAACCCCGTGCCGTCCCTCTCCCAAGCCCCAAACGGGCTGGGTCAGGGCCGCTGCCTCCACAAGGCTCCTGGCGCCCACAGGCCTTGTTTCGGTTTCTAGGGGCGGATTTCACAAACACGTTCTACTTACTGAGCTCTTTCTCTGTGGCCCCAGAGCCCGCCCAGGGGGCCCACTTCCTCGACCAGCTTGCCCAGCAGTGTGCTTCCTTGGAAGAGCTGAAGCTAGCCTTCAGGCCACAGATGGATCCCAGGTAGCTGCCTTGCACGAGCCAAGCAGTGGGGCCTGGAGTCGGGAAGACCCGAGCTCAAATTCGGCCTCAGACTCTTCCTAGCTGGGTGACCCTGGACGAGTCACTTCACTGCTGCCTGCCTCAGTTTCCTCATCTGTAAAAGGAGGACAATAACAGCACCTCCCTCCTTTCCTCACGGTGGGAGTTCTGCAGTGCCACTGCGCTGGGGACGTCCACAGTGCGATTGGGGACTTGGGGGGCCCCAGGCATGCCCGACAAACCACCAGAGAAAGCTCTTTATTTGGCTTTCTGATGAATCTTATTCAGGGCATAATAATGACATTTCGGGTTTACAAAGTGCTCGACACAGATGATCTCACTGGAGCCTCAAGCCCAGGAGGTACAAATGCTGTGGGAATTCTTACTACCATTTCACAGATGAGAAAACTCAGACAGGCAGGGGTTAAGTTGAACTCAGGGTCAGTGGAATCTGGAGATCTGAGTTCAGAGACTGCAGTTTCCCAGGAGTGATTTTTGTGGTGTTTTTCTGTGAGGACACTGGTGCTTTGTGCCCAGGCTGTAAAAAGAGAGGCGAGGGGCTGCAGGGAGTTACAGGGGACGCTACCCCCCCCAAGAGTCTGAGCCTCCACAGGTTTCCGCAGTGGGCCCAGTCAAGCCTCCCCCAGAGGTGCCATGGGACGGACACTGGGTTGTTTCCTGTAGCCCTGTTGGGTGGTTAGTGAGAGGAAGCCGAGCCTCCCTGGGACCTCTGGGAGGGGGCGGCACCAGAGTGATGAGCGTGGAGGAGGAAGAGGAAAGGGAAAGCCTCAGAAGATTTGGGGTGCGATAGGGAGAGTCGGAGGGCAAATCAGGGGGAGCCCTTCAGGACTTGGTCTCCGAGTCACGGGTGGGCAGAGGGAAGGAGAGGCCCCACTCAGAATGGAGCCCAGGGAAAGGGGGCTGCCCACAGAGGCAGGACAAAGGAGGACTAGATGTGACCTTTGAGGAATCAGTTCTGTGAAGGTGAGCCTTGAAACCGTGGGAGTGAAGGAGAGAGCCTACGAGAAGGTGGGGGGCCCTTGCGACTTTGGACAGAGCAGGAGAGAAAGAAGAGATCCTCGTTACCGACAGCCCCTCGCTGAGTCTGGCCACAGAAGCCAGGAGAGAGACTGGGGACCACAGGGGACGTGCAGAGAAACCCAATGCAAGGGGGGCAAGAAGGCCCACCTTCCCCCACGAGAGGAGGCTGGGGAGAGGCCTGGGGGGCCCCGATGTTCTCTAACTCCAGTCAGCAGCCCGGGGGTGGGGGAAGTGACCGTCGGATGCGGGGACATCGGAGCTCACCACCACGGAAGCGTGCGTGTGTCGGGGTGCCGGCCTCGGCAGTGCCCTATTTCTTCCCTCCTAGGCAGCTCTCCATGATGCTTATGCTGGCTCAGTCCAATCCTCAGCTCTTTGCTTTGATTGGAACCAAGGCAAGCATCAACAAGGAGCTGGAACGCATCGAGCAGTCCTCCAAGCTGCAGCACCTGTCCGCCACCGAGCTCATCGGCCGCAACCGGGACCACTGGGAGGCGTGGCTCCAGAGATACAGGTGAGATGCGCGGCTCCGACGTGGAGGCTGGCCTGCCTGCCTCCCCTTTCAAGCTTATTCCGTGTTACTCTCTTCTAGCCAGACTTGCCTTAATTACCATTTCTCAGCCTCTACACCTTTGCCCGGGCTGTGCCCTGATTGCCCCCCCCAATAGATCGTAAGCTCCATGAGGGTAAGGATTAATTGGGTCTTCGTAGTCCGTGTACCTAGCATAGTGCCTGGTAGACAGCAGGTGCTTAATCGGTGCTTGGTGAAGGAACAGATGAAGTAGGGCCAAGCATGACAGGAAGGGAGGCCCAAAAGCTGCTGTTGGCACTCAGCTTTCCTCTGTGTTTCTGCAGAGCCCGGTTGGAAAGAGACATGCAAAGCGTCAGCGGCATGACCGCCTGGAACGTGGAGCGTGTAGGAGTCATGCAGTCCAACAACCCCAAGTACATCCTGAGGAACTACATCGCCCAGAATGCCATAGAAGCTGCGGAGCGGGGAGACTTCTCAGAGGTATGGGCGCCAGCCACCACCCTTGAGGGGGTGGAGGAGGGCTTCTTTCCTGCCTCCTTTCAGTTCCCTGCTGACGTGCTTGTGTCTTGCATGTTCCTGTCCAGGTAAGGAGGGTGTTGAAGCTGCTGGAGAAACCGTACCGTGAGCAGCAGGAGGAGGACGTGGACGGGCCCCCGGAGGCCATGGAGTGTGGAGCGGCGGCGGCCGCGGGTGGCAGCCACCTGTCCTACAGCAGGAAGCCTCCCCTCTGGGCTGCAGAGCTCTGTGTGACGTGATCTTCGTAGCTGCCTTGTGGGCGTTTCCCACCTGCCTGGACAGTCTCACAAGGCCCCTCTGGGCACCGCTGAGTCACAAAACGGCATTTGGTGTCTTAGGTTGGTCCCGCCACACTTCAGTCACCCCAGTGGCTGTTTTTCCATGAAGGCAAAGACATCCAGTCAGTCCTGACCTGTCTCTGTCTGATGCTGACTCAGCAGCCCCACACCCAGCCCCCAGACTCACTGGGCTTCCCCCCCCAGCTCATCAGAGCCCTTCCTCACTCCCTCTGCCTTTTTCTGAAGCTGTTAATGTAGTGACAGAGAACCATCCCATCTGCCTCTTCGAAGGGACCTGGCTGGCAGCAGAGGCACTGAAGAGGGGGAGGGGCGGGGGCCCCAGGTAGAGCAGGAGGGCAGCCCGGCTGATTTCTTCATCTTCAGTGCTTTAGGAAGAGAAACTCATCCCATGACGGAGGGAGGGAGGGAGGGAAAGGTCCTCCTGTCTCTACAAACAGCTCCCCCAACCCCCCTGCAATAAACAGCTCTACGTTACTGACTGCTGGCCTGCTCCTGCCTGGGCGGGGTGGGAGAGCGGCTCCCCAGGACAGAGCGCAGGGCCCTTTATTTATGTGGGGGCTATTTACAGAGAAGGGAAAGTGCACTCTCTCACAGCAGTCCTTGCTGGGGCCACGGCTCATGTGTCTCTGTAGTAGTTGTTGAAATTAATTCGCAGGAGGAAGTCTTCCAGATGGGGCTGGTAACCTCGGTTCACCAGCTTGGTGACCACTGCAGGGAGAAGACAAGGCAGGGTTTGGGGCCCCGGGCCAGGACGAGGGAGACCATAAGCCACACCGTGAAAGTCCCCCTCTGTGGCGATCTCCGGCCCCCCAAACTCCTCCCTGAAGCCGTTTCCACTACCTCCATCCTCACCTTTGAAAAGAAAGTGAGAGTAGTACTTGAAGGTGCTGTAGGATTGCTGCATGAGGGCAAAGTTGGGGTGCACGGCCCCCTGCCGGCTGCCATCGTAGGTCCAGGCCTGGGAGATGAGCTGAGTACGGAACTTCAGGATGAGGCTGAAGATGCTGTGGATGACGTTCATCACAGGGGCAGCCTTTTCTGTCAGCAGCCCCCTGGGGTGGGGAGCAGGTGGAGAACAGGTCAGGCCAGGAAGCCCCTCTGATGCCGTGCCTCCACCTCCCCAAGTGTCCAGATGCTGCTGAGGCGGGCCCAGCTGGGCCAACGGAGCCACTACAAATCCGTGGAGCGTGGTCTCCACCGGCCCTCACTGTCTCAAAGCCCACTTGGCCCAGCAGATCCAAATTGTGACCCTCTGCTGAGGACAGATGGCCCCCTTCCCCCATCCTGAGCTAGGGCAGCCTTCCCACTGCCCACCCAGAAAGGCCCTTGACCACTCGCCGGCTCAAGGCCACTCTTCCCATACCGCTGAGCTCATCTCTCACGGCTGTCTACAAACACTCCCATGTCTCCCTCATCCTGGAAAACTCTCCCTTCACCCTCCCATCCCCACCATCGTGGTCCTTTTGGCTAAACTCACAATCGGGGCCCCCATTTCCCCTCTCCTCATTCCACTAAAGTGCCCAACGAGCTAGCTCTTCGTGGTCAAATCCAGCGTCCTTTTCTCCTTTACCATTCTCCCTGACCTGGTTCCCCTCCTCCAGATCCCCCTCTCCCACTCTAGGGGTCCCTCAGGATCGTGTCCTGGCCTTCTCCCTCCAGACTCCACTAGGTGATCTCATCAGCTGCCACTGACTTCCTGACAGTCTCCCTATGCTGACCTCCAATCTCGCATCTCCAGCCGCCTTTCAGACACCTTGAACTGGACATCCAGTAGAACGGGTCCAGAACGAAACTCTTCTTCTCCCCTGAGCGCCCCCATCCTCCCACCTCGCAGGCTCCCGCCTTTGGAGTCATCCTGGGCTCCTCACGCTCGCTCACTCCCCACTGTCCAAGCTGGTGCCAAGGCCTGAGATTTCACCTCTGCAGCATCTCCTCTCCTGCCCCTGCCGACACCCTGGTCCAGGCCTCGTCACCTCCACCACCATCCCCTACTCTGCTGCAGGAGCTGCTGGGGGGGGTCTCCCTGCCTCAAGTCTCTCCCTGCTGTAGCCATCCTCCAGCCACCAAGGCCATCTCCCTAAAACGGGTTTGATGACGTCACCCCTACTCAATAAAGCAGCTCCCTATCACCTCCAGGATCAAATACAAAATGGCATCCTAAGCCAGCCCCCTCCTCGGTTTCCAGTCTTTTTAGCACCTTAGCACTTGGCACTCCCTGACAGTCTCTCCAATCCAGTGACTCTGGCCTCCTCCTGACTCTGTCCTCTCAACTCTGGGCATTCTCTTTCCCAATCAATGATCACGTCATGGCTAGGTTGTGCAAGGGATAGATCACTGGGCCTGGAGTCAGGAAGACCCGAGTTCAAATTCAGCCTGACATTTACTGGCTTTGTGGCTGGGCAAGTCACTTTACCTCAGTCTGCCTCAGCTTCCTCAACTGAAAAATGGAGATAACAACAGCACCTACCTCACAGGGTTGTAACGTGCCTAGCACAATGCCTGGCAAAGTAGGTGCTTAATAAATGCTTATTCTCTTTTTGCCTGAGCTTGGGAGAGCAAAGCCCTTCTCTTCCAGTCGTAGGCTAACCTCTTTCCTGACCCACGTGAGCTGCCTGTTCCACACCCACCAGCCCATCCCTGGAGGCCCCTGGCCTACTCTTACCTGAAGATGGCTTTGTTGAGGTACTCGGCATGAGTGCGGTGGATCTCCTCGAGGTTGCTCACAGCCGCCAGCTTGTCCCCAAACTCGCGCCACGTGACGTGCAGGATCTGATTGGCAATGTAGCCCTGGATCACCTTCACGAAATGCTGCATCTCGTGCTTAAAGAGCTGGAGCTGGCGGAACTGGACCGAGCCAGCTGCGCGGTTCACTAGCGCTGGGTGGGAATGATGGAGTAAACAGCAGAGACCTTCAGGCCCTGGAGTCCGCCGCCGCCTGGCCCACAGTAGGTCCACAAGCCCGGGGGCCCCTTACCTGTGCGCTTGAGGTGGAAGCACACGTCCTTCAGGGTCCACATCATGTGCTTCAGCTGCAGCAGGAAGGAGAAGACCTTGTTGTATTTGTTCAAGCAGCTTTCCGTGATGACAATGTTGAGGGGCCAGTCAACCTGAGAGAGAGAGGAAGAGTGTGGGTGCAGGGGGCACTGAGCCGCCGCCTGGGCCGGGCAGGACGGAGCCTGCCACCAGGCAGGAGTGGGCTCCGTCACCAGGGAGTCCCACCAAGTGTTTAAAGAATAATTCCAGCACTAAGGTCTTCTGTGACACAAATGTGGTCTTGATCCCTACAGGAGAAATTCCATTTAAAATAACTGCAGATGACGTAAAACACTGGGGAGTCTGCCTGCCAAGACACACACAGGAACTACACGAACCCCAGAAAAACATTCTTCTCACACAGACGTCTGAGTGGCTCATGAACAGGACAAGGCAATATGATGATGGCAATACTGCCTAAGTTAATTTACTTAATTCAGTGCCATGCCAATCAAACTACTAAAGGGTTAATTTACAGAGCTGGAAAAATAACAATTCAGTCTGGAGGAACAGAGGTCAAGAACATCGAGGAGCTCAATTCAGACTAAAAGTTAACAGGAAGGGCGGCAATACTGGATCTCCAACTGTGCTAAAAAGCCATCGCCATCCAAACAACCTGGTCCTGGGCAAGCAGCAGGCGAGACCAAAAGGCGCCCGGGGGTGGCAATGGCGGGCCAGGGCCTGCCCGAGCTCACCCTCTCACTGCTGGGAGACCACCCTGGCCCCGAGTCAGGCCAGGCCAGCTATTCTCAAAGCTGCAGGGACCGGGCGCCGGGCACGGAGAAGGCCCGGCCCCCAGGGGACTGCAGGCAAAGCGCCCACGACGGCCCAGGGGGAGGCCACGCTCCCTCAATACCAAACCCTGCCCCAGAGCACTGCTCCACTGTACCTGGGCCCCTCTTCTCTGACTCGTCAGCCCCTACCCTCAGACTCCGGTCCCATTTGGTTACTGGGTCAAGGCTGCTCCGCCCAGACTGGGAGCTCGCTGAGGGCAGGGCCTCCCACCTCTTGTTACGTGCAGGGATGGGCACACAGGGTATCAACATCTCCACAGCCGTGGGGATGATGTATCTTCTTAAATCCTACAACTTTACCAGAGCAGAGAGAGATGCAGAAATGAAGAGCAAGGAGAGGGCATGGGGTAAGAGCTCGATGACAGCTCTGGAGCACCGCCGCGTACCTTGTACCGCAGCTCAAGGCAGCTCAGGGCGTCGGGGGCGTTGGCGCTGAGTGCTTCTGGCAGGTACTTGAGGGCGAAGGAGAGGTTAGCCGCGAGCTTTGTGTCCCCGTGCAGGCTGTACTGCAGGGCTTTGGTGAGGAAGGAGTTGAGCACCAGGGGGTTCAGGAACTCGCCGGGGCTCTGCCCCGAGCCCAACTGAAGGGGAGGACCAAGATGGGGCAGGCGGCCGTGGGAAGACTACTGTCCCCATCAGCAGATGGGCAAACAGAGGTTCAAGTGGGTCACCCCCTCTGGCTTAGCCAGCTCAGATGGGGCCCAGACCAACAGCAGTCCATGACTCCACAGCCTTAAAGCTCCCCGCACCCAGGGTGGCAGAGTCAGAGGCCTGCCCGCTTTACGCCAGCCGCCACTAGGCGCATTCCAAGAGTCGAGTCTGGGTGCTGCGGGCTGCAAGTGCTATTACCTCGTGACAGAGGAGGAAGCAGGCCCAGAGAGGGTCAGGGCTCTGCCTGTGATCCCACAGCTCTCCCCTAGGGCCGGCAGACACTTTAGGAAGCCCCTACTCAGGCTGGGCCTCTCGGTGCTGGCTCTCAAGGGCTTGCCCAGGATCCCCCGCCCCCTCGGGCAGCCCCAGGACCCAGGACAGCCCCTCCCCGGGCCCGGAGTCTGGTCCACAGCCCTGCCGGTACCTTCTCAAAGAGCAGGTCGCTGAGAGACTGAGCAAACTCCCCGTCTTCCATGAGTAAAAAGTGCCTCAAGGCCTCAAAGTGCTTTTCTAGGCCGAGCTCCACAAAGTAGTAATCGACGACAGCCTTGTTCACCAGGGACACGCTGTGGGGACGAGGAGGCTGCCCATCAGATGCTAGGCAGAGCCGTCCAGGCCAAGATGGCGGGAGACTCAGCCTCCGCCTCGCCATCTAGGCACAGGAACCCCTCTCCCACATCCTCGGAAGCGTCACGTGGCCTCTGCTCCAGGGACGGGGAGCTCACTACCTTTCAAGGGTGCTCCTACAGAGCTTTTCCGGATGTCAGGTGGAAGCCTGCCCCACTCTAATCCGTTCCCACAGCAGCCCACGCACGGCAAGGCCGATCCCTCGGCCACACGTACTGAGAAACCAGAGGGGCAGTGATGGAGTGCTTCATGAGCACGGGCAGGGTCAGGAGCTCGCTCAGCTGCACGGAGGTCTCGTCACTCGCCAACGGCCAGCGGGGGTCCACCGGGAAGGAGAAGGGTCTGGGGATGACGTGGCGCATGAGGTGGGACACGGGAGGGTCAGCTGCAGGACAGAACCCAAAGGCGTCAGCTCCGTCTGCAAACCTGGGCCACTCTGCCCCGCAGCCCCCAGCCCCAGCAGCCTGCACGGGGCTTGTCACTCACACATCAGGCTGTAGCTGTCTTGGTATTTCTCGAGGCAGTACTGCTCGGACAAGGCTTTCAAGTAGGCCTGTTCTCGGGCACAGTCTCCGGCTCCGTCCTTTGCCTCCTCAGGCCCAGGGGCTGCGGTTGGGTTTTTCGCTTCCACCTTTTAGGAAAAAAATGGAAGCAGAAAACCGCTGCTGCGGCTGTGACTGCTGGGCCCTCCCCTGGGGACCACACCAGCCAGCCTGTGCCCACCCAGGGGGTGCCTGGACTCCTGGTACCAGAGCAGTTGCCTTCTAGGAAGTACGAAGTACTGCCTGGAACTGGCCCAAGGCCAAGATCGCGTGGGGCCTTCGGGGCACGCCCAGCCCAGGGCATGCGGGGGACCTGGCGGGTGGGGGTGGGGCAGAGCCAGAGTTCAGTCAGAATCACCGCTCCCAGCCACCTGCCGGTCAGGCGCGAGTTGCCTTTCCCTTACCTGAGGCCCAGGAGGCTGGTTTGGGGACAGGTCCTCGCTCTCGTCGCTTGTCACAGCTGAACCTGGGAAAGCCAAATGGGGACGCCGCGCTGAGGATGCCCTTCCCCACCCGTCCGGTTTCCCACTTGGCTCCACCACTAACTGGCGGTCACTGGGCGTGGCTGGGCCTGTTTCCTCATCCTTGGTGACCCCAGCACCCTGTCCATCCTACAGCAGCCCCTGGCTGGCTCGCCTCCTCGCTCTGGGCGTGTGTAGGGGGTACTTCACAGTCAGCTCCCCCCAGCAGGGCCCAGAAGGGGACACAAGATCACTCAGAACTGCTGGCAGCTTTCAAGACTGCCTATGTCGCTCAGGTGCCTTATCTGTAAAATGGGAAGATGCTAGGCCCCCTCACCTGTCTGCCTTGTTTCCTCCCCTCTCCCCCCAGTTCTGCTCCAGGGGGGCCTCATGAAGCCAGCCAGGCCAGTCCTTCACAAGAAAAGCACAGAGGGGGCTGGGTGGGGGCAAGATCTCCCAGGAGGAAGAGACCAAGCCTCCAGAGAGGCATGAACCACAGCTTCCTAAAGAGCTGTGTCCAGCCACATCATCAGGTGAGCTTCCCAAGGCCCAAGAGCCCCAAGAGGATGCTGGGTGCTTACTGACAGCCGACCTCTGCCTTGGCCCGACTGGCCTTGGCCTCTCCCCCGGCCCGACAGGCCTCTCCCCTGGCCCAACAGCCGGCCTCTCCTCCGGTTCGTCTGTCTTCTTTGGGACGAGCTCCTGGCCTGGCTCTTCCCGGCCTGATGAGGAAAGGGGCGGGGACAGCCCACGCCCCTGAGGAGGCTGGTCTGGACCCGAGCAGCCCAGCTCCCTGTTGTACAGAAACCACTGCATGGTGGAGGTGGCAGCCATGGGGATCATGTGCCTGGAGAGAGGCTTGCGGGGAGGGGGAGGCTCACTCTGGCCCAGCTGAAGGCTGGACTGCGAGGCGTGGCCAAAGGCGCTGCCCCGTGGCCGGGGGACTTCAGCCTCCAGGGTGAGGTCACCCAACTTCATGTGGGACTGCGAGGCGTGTCCGTGTAGGTTCCAGCGGGGCCGAGAAGAGATCACTTCCGACACGTAGGCCCCAACAGGGATGCTGCTGTCCGACACGTGACCGTGGGCGCTCCCTCGGGGCAGAGGCGGCTCCACGTCAGCGGCATACGAGCCCATTTTGATGTGGGAGGCAGAGACGTGGCCGTGGACGTTCCACCGGGCCCGGCTGCTTGTGGTGCTGGGACGTGGCTCTGGGGCTTCGGGCTCAGGGATGGGCTCTCCTAGTTGGATGCTGGAGTCCGAGGCGTGGCCATGAAGGCTCCAGCGGGGCCTGTGGCATGTGTCCCTGGGTGCCGCGAACTCTTGAGAGGGAGCGGGGGTTGCGGCTGCGGCCGCAGGGCGGAGAATGGTGGTGAAGTCGTACAGCGGCTGCTGCGGCTGGCCGCCTTCTTGCTCCGTGGCCCCACCGTGTGCTATGGGGGGCAGGTCCAAGGAGATGGTCTGCAGCGCTGCTTCCAGCAAGGCTGGGGGGCCAGAGGCAGCGGGCAGCTCCTCAGGCAGAGGCCTGGGCAGGAAATCACTCATGTCCAGGCTGGACCCGGGGAGAGGCGCGGCCCTGTCCATCTGCTCCGGCTTTTCCTCTGTCCTTGGCTCCAAGGTGTGGCCGTATGCGCCGGCCCCCTCGGGCTCCATCTGCTCTGATGGCTGGGCACCCACTGAGGGCAGCGGCCCCCACACACCCTCTGAAGACCCTTCGGAGTCTCCTTGTTCACCGCTGCTCTCTGAGCGCTGCCTTGCCTGGAATGGAAACACGGGGCTGACCAATCTCAGAGGAGGGTGGGGGGGATCTGGGACGAAACAAGGGAAGCCCCCACCCCACCCTGGACTGGGGCTAATACCGTGGACAGCAGTGAGTGAAGCCCCCAGCGACCTGGGCCTGGGCCACCAATGCACACACCATGCTGGCCTGCACACAGAGGACACCCCGAGCATCTGGAGATGCTGGTGAGGGGAGGGCCAGCAGCAGGGAGGACTAGCTCTGGGCGGAGACTGTCCACAGGCCTCTAAGACCCCGCCAAGGGGAGGTAGGGCAGCTCCCAGCCTGATGCCAAGAGACCACGGTGGCTTCAGGTGACCAGGCCAACCCCCCGAGTATGAGGCTGGAGTCTCACCTGGACCCCAGGCTCTCCTCCAGGGGCACCCGCTTGTGCAGGGCGATGGACACTGGGGAGGATGTCAAGTTTCTCCCTGTACTTTCCTTCAGAGACATTTTGAAGCATCTCCTGAAATTCAGAAGAGAGGACAGTAACAGCCAATGCTTTCTAACGGCGGGAGGTTTGCCACGTGCTCTCAAACCCTTGTCTTTACTCCATATTTGCAGGGGCACAGATGGCTGCTCGTGCTCTGCGGTGTGTATATGCCATCCCTCCAGGGGACTGTAAACTCCCAGAGGGCAGGGGCTGTCTCATTTCTACTTCCCCGGTGCCTAGCACACGGCCTGGCACGCAGCACAGAAACGCTGCTGACTGACCGACCTGCTGATCCGATGGGCCTGAGGCCGTATTTCAGACTCATTTTATTTGGAAGTCCATCACGGGTCCTTGGGTCCCCAGCACCGGTAGCAGGTGTCAGGCCCAAATGATAAACAGGACAGGCATTTCTATCCTCATTTTGCAGGTGAAGGGAATGACTGCCCAGGGTCACCCCGCTATGCTGACCCTTGGCTAGCGACTCGACTATCTCCACACGCCCCGAGCGGACGCTACCTGCATGCGTTTCTGGTCTTCCAAGAGAAAGTTCAGACGGGCCGTCTCCAGCTTATGCCTCTGTATCTTCCAGAGAGCACGCTGCGAGCGGCGAGCAGCCTCCTCAGACAGCTTGCTGTAATGGTCAATTAGGTCCTGCCTGCAGGGACAGAGGCGGGCCTGACGTGAGGTGTCCCTACGCAGAAGGGGCAGCCAAAAACCTGCAGGTGGTTCTCAGAGCCCGTCTGGCCTCAAAAACACAGATTAGGTGGGGCAGCTAGGTGGCACAGTGGATAGAGCTCCGGCCTTGGAGTCAGGAGGACCCGAGTTCAAATCCGGTCTCAGACACATGACACTTACTCGTTGTGTGACCCCCCAACTGCCCCAACAACCAAAAAACAAAAACCATGGATTAGAATGGGGGGTTGGGGAGGGGGGATGCCCTTCCATCCTCACACAGAAAACAGCATCAAAGACACATCAAACCAATCCCCCAAAAAGCAGGAAGGGACTCGGGCAGGAAGGGCTGGGGGGTTCCTACCACAGGGGGAGTGACCCCAAGCTCTGCAGCAGATTCACTTTCTTTCTTTTTTAAAAATAACATTTTTTCCCCCAATTACATGTAACGACAGTTTTTTAACTATTCATTTTTTACACTGAGTCCCAAATTCTCTCCCTCTCTCCTCCCTTTATGTTACCATATGTTTGTTAGGTCATCCAGGAAAACACATTTCTGCATTAGTCATGTTGAGAAAGAAAACACAGACCGAAAAAAACCCCACAAAGAAAGCAAAAATAGACTGTTCTGATCGGCACTCAGACTCCCTCAGGCCCTTCTCCAGGTGTGTCGCATTTCTCCTCTGAGCCCTCTGGAAGCTTCTCGGGTCACTGCATAGCTGAGAAGGGCCAAGTCTATCAGCGTTAGTCATCGCACAACAGCATCGTGGCTGTTACTGTGTACAAGGTTCTCCTGGTTCTGCTCTCTTCACTCAGCATCAGTCCATACAAGTCTTTCCAGGTTTTTCTGAAGTCAGCCTGCTCATCATTTCTTATAGCACAACAGTATTCCATCACATTCATATACCACAGCTTGTTCAGCCATTGCCCAATGGATGGGCATCCCCTCAGTTTCCAATTCTTTGCCACCACAAAAAGAGCTGCTGCAAATATTTTTGTACATGTGGGTCCTTTCCCCTCTTTTATGATCTCTTTGGGATACAGCCCCAGAAGTGGTATTGCTGGATCAAAGAGTATGAACAATCTTATATATAGCCCTTTGGGCATAGTTCCAAATTGCCCTCCAGAATGGCTGAACCAGTTTACAACTCCACTAACAATGCATTAGTGTTCCAGTTTTCTACATCCCCTCCAACATTTGTCATTTTCCTTTTCTGTCATATTAGCCAATCTGATAGGTGTGAAGTGGTACCTCAGAGTTGTTTTAATTTACATTTCTTTATCAAGAGTGATTTAGAGCATTTCTTCATATGACTATAGATAGCTTTTATTTCCTCTGAAAACTGCCTGTTCATATTCTCTGACCATTTCTCGCTTGGGGAATGACTTGTTAAAGTCACTTTCAAAAACAAGCTTTCTTCTGTCTTTCCTTATATAGAGACTATTTGTGTTTGCTGATGACTATTAACATTTTTAAAAAGTGATTTTTTAAAAACCTGTATGAGGCCTACCAAAGGTCCCCTCCTCTGTTCCCCTCTCTCCTCTTTTCCTCTCCTCTGCCAAAATGCATTTTCTCCTGCCTCAAGCCAATCCCTGGTAACTGACTGTTAGAAAACAACATGTTTCTAAAAACCCAATGCAATCTAAATTACAGCTAGTGTCTGCCAGTCCAGCCAAATGCAGGAGAAAAGGGCCTATTTGTACGAAAATATCTATAGTAACTTTTGTGACTGACAATGACTTAGCTATTCTCAGCAATAAAATGATCCGAGACAATTCTGAAGGACTTATGATGAAAAATCCTATCCACCTCCAGAGAAAGAACTGATGTCATCTGAATACAGACTAAAACATATTCACTTTCATCTTCCTTTTTGTTCAAGTACAAAATAACTAATATGGAAATTTTTTTTTTTTTTTGGTAAGGCAATCAGGGTTAAGTGACCTGCCCAGGGTCACACAGCTAGTAAGGGAAATGTTTTACATGATTACATACGTATAACCTATACCAGATTGCTTACTGTCTCAGGGAGGGTGTAAGGAAGGGATAGAATTTGAAACTCAAAACTTAAAAAAAAAAACCCAAAAGTTAAAAGTTGTTTTTACAGGTAATTGGGGAGGGAAATAAAATATTATTTAAAAAAAGAAAATTCCATTTAAAATAACCGCAGACAGTATAAAATACTTGGGAGTCTACCTGCCAAGACACATCCAAGAACAATATGAACACAATTAAAAACACTTTTCACACAAATAAAGACAGATTTAAATAACTGGAGAGATATTAATTGCTCATGGGTAGGCCGAGCCAACTTATAGCTAAGTTAATTTATTTATTCAGTGCCGTACCAATCAAACTACCAAAGAGTTATTTAATGTAACTAGAAAAATAACAACACAATTCATCTGGAAGAACAAAAGGCCAAGAATAATCAAGGGATATGTGAAGGAAGGTGGCCCGGCAGTACCAGATTTCAAACATTACAAAGTGGTAATTATCAAAACAATATGGTACTGACTAGGAAATAGAATGGTGGATCAGAATAGGTTAGGTACACCATAGTAAATGACCACAGTAATCTAGGTTTTGATAAATCCAAAGATCTAAGCTTTTGGGGTAAGAACTTGCCATTTGACAAAAATTGCTGGGAAAACTGGAAAGCACTATGGCAGAAATTTAGGTATAGGCCTGTCTCACACCATATACCAAGATAAGGTCAAAATGGATAAGTGAGTTAGACAAAATGGGTGACATCATAAACAAATTAGGAAAGGATAGAAAAATGTACCTATTAGATCTATGGATAAGAGAAATGCTTATGACCAAGAGACAGAGACAGAAGTAAAATGGATAATTTTGATTACATGAAATTCAAAGGGTTTTGCACAAATAAAACCAATGCAGTCAAAATTAGAAAGAAAGCAGAAAACTGAAAAAAAAAAAAAAGTACAAGTTTTTCTGATAAAGGTCTCACTTCTCAACTATATTGAGGGAACAGAACCAAATTCATAAAAATAAGCGCCATTCCCCAATTGATAAATGGTCCGAGGATATGAACAAAGTCAAATTTATAAGAATACAAGTCATTTCCCAATTGCTAAATGCTCAAAGGATATGAATAGGCAGTTCTCAGATGAAAAAATTAAAGCCATCGATAGTTATATGAAAAAATGCTCTACATCACTATTGATTAGAGAAATGCAAATCAAAACAACTCTGAGGTACCACATCACACCTATCAGATTGGCCAACATGACAAAACAGGAAAATGGTAAATGTTGGAGAAGATGTGGGAAAACTGGAACACTAATGCATTGCTGATGGAGTTGTGAAACGATCCCACCATTTTGGAGAGCAATCTGGAACTATGCCCAAAGGGCTATAAAAATGTGCATACCCTTTAGTAGTAACACTTCTAGGAATGTATCCCAAAGAGATCATACAAATGGGAGAAGGACCCACATGTACAAAAATATTTATAGCAGCTCTTTTTGTGGTAGCAAAGAACTGGAAATTGAGGGGATGCCCATCCATCGGGGAATGGCTGAACAAGTTGTGGTATATGAATGTAATGGAATACTATTGTGCTATAAGAAATAACAAGGTGGGGGTGGGGAGAGGGGAGGTTCACAGAAACCTGGACAGACTTATATGAACTGATGCAAACTGAAATGAGCAGAACTAGGAGAATATTGTACAACGATCAACTGTGAAAGAAACGGCTACTCCAATCAAGACAATGATACAAGCCATCCCAAAGGGCTCATGATGACAAAAGACAAATGATGGCCTCTGAATGCAGACTGAAGCAGATCTTTTTTTACTTTTTTTTTAAAACTTTTTCTTGTTTGGGGTTTTTTTGGGCAAAATGGCTAATATGGAAATATGTTTTGCTTGACTTCACATGTATAATGGGTATCACATTATTTGCTTTCCCAATAGGTGAGAAAGGGGCTGGAAGGAGGGAGAGAATTGGGAACTAAACATCTTTTTTTTAAAGATTGTTTAAAAAAATAAAATAAAATATGAAAAAATGACCAAAAAAGTACTGCAATGAGAACTCTGGGAAGGAAGGGGGTGGGGCCGGGCAGGCCCTGCTGCCAATAGGCCTGGGCTGTCTGAAGCCATACCTTGCCTGGCGCGCCAATTCCTCCTCCAGCCCTCTCAGTCTCTTCTCTCTCTCGCGCAGCTCACGGGCATAGCTGAATTCATCATCAGTCTCCTCCTGCTTGGCAGCCAGGCGGCGCTACAGCAACACACGATGGGACCCAGTGACCGGAGGCCAAGGCCGCGGCGCGCCCCTCAAACACACTCGCTAAGACAGTGGACCTACCTCCTGATCCTTCAGAAACTGCTCTTTTAGTTTCTGGAACTGCTCTCGCTTCTTGGCATCCAACGCCATCCTTTCAGACATGTGTCGATCTGTCCAGAAAAGGAATAATGCTCCTGTTAGAGGAGACCCTGTGCGACTGGGATGTTTCCTGGCACACCCATGGTCAAGGTGTGCAGGGATGCAGAGCATACCATTCAAGGCCTTCAACACCCGGGAGGCCGTGTCCCGGGCGTGGACAATTAGTTCTTGCTTGGCAATCTCCATCCGCAATTTCTGAAAGACAAGAAACAAGCGGTCGGTGCCTCTGAGACCCTCAGGTAGCTCTTTCTGACCTGCTGTAGGCTCGGTCCCACAGACGGTTCATCGGCACGCCTCCATAGGCCTCCTCTCCACACAACCCCATCCGTCTGCTGCCGCTAACACGATTCTGCACTCTCCCTCCCGCATGGCTCTCTGCCACCGGGGCAGCTCGAAATCCCGTTTCCTCCAGGAAGCCTGCAGCCTGTACGCCCTCCCCAGGTGGGCCACTTGCCAGCCAGTCCCTTGGCCTCTCCATGTGTCCTCTGCACCCATCACCTTGCTCTGGGCTCCACTGTCACTTTTACAAGGTTAGTTTGTGCACTTGTGCACGGCTGTGCATTCACTGCCAAAGAGGCTCCTATGCCCCTCAAAGTCAGACCCCCTGACAAGCTTTCCTCGCCTCACTGATTATTTACAACACTGTTTTTTCGGTACACCAATTTCCACTTTTAATTTTTTCAAAACGCGAGGCAGTTTGCCGATTCTGAACGTTAGAAATGAAGCACTATTCAAATAACCGACTTGAATTTAGAAGACTTTACAGACTACCACTGGCCTGTATATACTTTACATCCATCCAGAAAGCTGGGTTCCTATCACACCTACAGGCCGGCCTGGGGAGAAACCCTGCCAGCAGTCCCACTGCACAGATAGGCAAGCTACCACGGCCACAGGCCCACAGCAGTGCCCAATAGGCCGAGCCACAGAAATGCCTCGACGTTCCTGGCTCTCAGGCCGGGGCCACACGTGCTCCCTGGGCCTTGGGCTGAGGTTCAGGAAGGGAGGGGCACAGCCCCTCACCAGTGGCGTGGCCCCAGTGCCACAGAGCCCTCCACATGCCCCCCTCCCTGGTCCCGACCCTGCCCACAGTGCACCAGGCCCACCATGAAGACAGGCGCTGCCCCCACTCTCCCACCAGACACCCCACAGGCCGTCCCGCACAGCCCTCCCAGCTGACGAGTCAGCCCAGCACTGCATTTCAAGACACATGACGGCCTCTGAAGCAAGGCTTCTCAAAGGGGAAGCCATAGGTATTCCCCAGTCTCCCCCTGCTCTGTGGACAAAGGCTCAGGACGAGGCCTCTCTCCCTCCGGCAGGGCCCAGCCCAGCTGCCAGGGGAAAAGCTAAACCCCATCTATAATCACACGCCAAAATCACCTGATCCTGTACCTCAGCCAGCTCCCTCATGAGCGCACAAGGCTGGAGAGGGGGAGCCTTGGCCAGGGGTCACAGCCCCAGCAGGCTCCAAAGCCATCACAGTTCCTGGGGGAGCGGGGCGAGGGCAGAAAGCGCAGAGCCTCGGGCTTACCTTCTCCTCCTTGCTCACGGCGCTATGGCGGGCCAGCCTCTCCATGCGCCCTACATACACGGCACAGTCCTTCTTGATCTCCTTCAGCTCCTCCAAGGAGAAGATGACTGAGATGCGGGGCACAGGGATGTCGGACCAACAGATATAATGCTGCATGAGGAGAGAGCGCCATGACCCGTACCATCCCTGATGCCACACGGAGCCGACTCACTCAAACCCGCCAGCCCTCAGGAGTATGCCCAGGGCATTGCCAGGATCCGCCAGAGCCCCTCCAGAAACACGGCTGGGTCCTGCCAGGAGGACAGGGAGCGCCAAACCATGGGCCCCCAGGAAGGAAGCCCTGCTCTAAGCAGGAAAGGATCTCTGCTGGGGTACAAAGGAATCCAGGGCTGGGTCAGGAGGGCCCCCGCGAGGCCACATCAGTGCCTGTACGTCCTGCGTCGCCCCGGCCTTTCGTGTGCCCACCCAACTCTCTCACCAATCCGGGATAACTGCCTCCTGCCCGCCCTCAGCCAAGTCTCTCCTTCGTGCATCTGAAGGCGGTTTCTCCGCCTCTTCTGGCTAAACAATCATTCTTTAACCTCCTCCTCATTTATCCTCCTTGGTGGTAGCTTTTCACGGGCCCTTCCAGTTTTCTTCACCCCAGTTAAAACAAGGCCCAGAAATGGAACCATCACAAGCAAGAGAAAGCTACCAAGGAAGACCCCAGGGATGGGGACAGCCAGGCCAGACCCCCTGGTATCCCACTCCCTGGGTTGGCCTCGTGGCAGCCCGCGGACAGGTGGCCGCTCCTACGCATCCACCCACGCCAAAGTCTGCCACACTGCCTGCCTGGGGGAAGGTGTGACCACAGCCAGCCCCTCAAGGGGCCCCGGCACCCCGGGGTGGGCAGGCAGCAGCCCCTGCACGACCATGCCAACAGAGGCCCGCCGCCGCCCCCTCCCCGCTACCCACCCGGGGACAGCACAGCTTCAGAAGGTTGATGGTCTTCCCGCAGACGTAGACGTCGTTGGCAACGTGCTTCAGGAACACGGGCACACAGTCCTCCACTTCCTTGGAAATGAGCACGTAGCCGTGCGTCCAATAAAACTTATCTGCAGGACGGACGCGGTCAAGACAAGAGCTAGACGAGAGCAGGACCCGAGGGCATCCCAGGTGCCCACCCACCTCCCCAGGGGCTGTACATGAGCTGTACAAAACTCAGCCATGGGATCAAACGGAACCAGAGAACTCAGGGTTGGGGTGATTTCTTCCTAGACAGGCCTCCCCTCCACAATGCCACCCCCCAGAGTGGATGGCCTCAGCTCTGAGCTCCTTAGTAACGGGGAGCTGCTTGGGTCCAGGGACAGCCACTCCACTCTGGGGCTGTCTGGCTCATTAGGAAGCATTCCTTTTATCTTGCCCAGTGGTTCAGCCCCAGAGCCAAGCAAACAAGCCTCTCCCCGGGGACCACCACCCTTCAATTCTTGAAGATGGCTCTCGTCTCTCCACAGGCCTTCCCTTCTCCCTGGGTCTAATATCCCCAGTGCCTCTGACCAGCCCTCCTATGGACGGCTTGGTCCCTAAACCCATCTTCTGGTCTCCCTCCAAGGACATTCTGCAGCCTGCCAATAGCCCCCCTAAATGAAGGGTGGCACAATATTCTGGATGGGACCTGAGCACGTAGGGATTAGCAGGAGTATGCCCCTCCCCACCCTGTCACTGCCAAAGGTCTCATCAACCTTCTTGGCCCCCGTGACCAACACATGTGTGCACAGACTGGCCGGCTGTGTCCCCCCGCCCCATCCCTCAGAAACTGCTCCAGTGAAGACAGCCCCAGAATCACTAAACAAGGGATCCCCCCCCCAAACACACAAACCAAACCTAGCTTAGGGACATACCCACAAGAGATGCCACAATCCTCTTCCCCAGACACACGCACACACACACGCACACACACATACACACGCACGCACGCGCACACACACACACACACGTACGCCCTGCGGCTTCCTCACATACCACGGCAGCTGAGATACTCTTCATTCACTTGGATCATGAACTCGCCATAGACATCGCGGAACACGCCACTGTACACCCAGTCGTGGATAAACCTGCGGGAAGCAGCTCTTAGGGACCTTCCCTCTGGGTACTAGAGAGGCACCTGCCCTGGGCCGGGCACACGGCAGCCTCTGGCTTTTCCACGCGGGCACAGGCAGCAGGCTTCCCAGGAGACCAAACCCACATCCTGGACCGGGTCGGCCGGTCTACAAGGCCAATGTCCTCCCCAGAGCCACGGCTTCACAGCCAACCAGAAACTGCTTATTTTGGATGGGTGGGGGAAGGAAGAGAACGTGCACAGGTGCACCAAGGTCTTGTGGGACTTGATGCCACGGACCTTCCATTTCACAGGCCCAGGCAACCTCCCTTCACTGGCAGGGGCAGGGACTCCAGACACTAAGGCATAGCAGAGCAGCCTGGCACCGAGTTTCGCCCTCTCGCCTCGCCAGCTCAGCCCTCAGACTCAAGACATACACACCATGTGGTCTGTGGCCAGATTCTCACTTTCTGGGAGCATGAGATCTTAGATCTACAGCCTTGCCCAAGAGCACCCACACAGCAAGCACCAGAGGCAGGGTTTGAACCCGGGTCCTTGGACTCCAGAGCCACAACTCCTTCCCCTGGGTCACACTGTCTCTGGATGGGGAGGGCTTGGCCTGCCCCCTGCATAACCTCTGAGAAGCTGAGGTTATTACATGCCATGAGGAGGGGGAATTGATAAATGATCAAAGGATACGAACAGGCAATTTTCAGACAAAGAAAGCAAAGCTATCTATAGTCAAATAAAAATGCTCTTAAATCATTACTGATGAGAGAAATGCACATTAAAACAACTCTGAGGTACCAACTCACACTTACCAGATTGGCTAATAAGACAGAAAAGGAAAATGACAGATGCAGGAGTGAATGTGGGAAAATTGGAACACTAATGCATTGTTGGTGGAGTTGTGAACTGATCCAACCATTATGGAGAGCAATTTGGAACTATGCCCAAAAGGCTATAAAACTATGCATACCCTTTGACCCAGCTTTACCACTACTAAGTCTGCGCTCCAAAGGGATCAAAGAAAAGGGAAAAGGAACTATCTGTACAGAAATATTTGCAGCAGCTCTTTTTGTGGTGGCAAAGAACTGGAAACTGAGGGGATGCCCATCCACTGGGGGATGGCTGAACAAGTTGTTGTGGTATAGGATTGTGATGGAATACTACTGTGCTAAGAGAAACGATGAGCAGGCAGACTTCAGAAAAACCTGGGAAGACTCAATATGAACTGATGCAGGGTGAAGCGGGCAGGACCAAGAGAATAGTGTACATTGGTTACTGCTGTTTAGTCATTTTCAATCACGTCTGACTCTTCATGACCCCATTTAGGGATTTCTTGGCAAAGATACTGGATTGGTTTGCCATTTTGTTCTCCCTCGCATTTTACAGATGAGGAACTGAGGCCAACAGGGAGAAGTGACTTGCCCAGGGTCACACAGCTAGTTAAGTGTCTGAGGCTGGATTTGAACTCGGGGCTTCCTGACTCTAGGCGCTGCCACCTAGCTGCCCCAATGTACACAAAAACTGCAATTGTACAATGATCAATTGTGAATGACTTAGCTATGTTCAACAATCCAAAGATCCAAGACAATTCCAAAGGACTCGCGATGAAAAATGCTACCCGCCTCCAGAGAGGAGGGACGCAGTGTGCGTGCAGATCAAAGCATTCTTTTGTACTCCATTTTTCTTTACTATTTTTGCAACCTGGCTAATATGGAAATAGGTCTTTCCCGACTTCACATGTAAAATGGGTATCACATTGCTTGCCTTCTCAGTGGGCAGGAGAGGAGCTGGAGGGAGGGAGAGAATCTAGAACTCAAAATTTTAGAAAAAGAACGAAACATAAATATGTTTGTTTTTAAAAAAGGAAGAGGAGGGGAAGGGTGAGGAAAGGGAGGAGGAAGGAGGGGGAAAGAAGGGGAGGGTCCTGCCTCTTCTGCCCATTTCTGGTAAGGCAGCCTGGCGCTTCTGAGCTCACGGAGGCTTTGGACTCACGCACTGGCCAGAGCTGCCGGGGGAGCCCTATCACTTCCTGTGTTACCGCCTCAGTTTCCTCCTCTGAACCCCCCCAGGTGCTGTGTGTCCCGAGCGGCTGCCACAACAGAGAAGGGAGCTGCCCTCCTGGGCAGCTCCTCCCCGGGGCTCACCTAGTGTACGGCTCGCAGCTGGCCTTCAACAGCGACAGCAGGACAGGATAATGCTCGTTGCTGCAGTTATCCAGGGCCTCCTGGTATAGGTAGGACAGCAGCTTCACTCCCTGAAGAGGGAACCACACATTGCTTCACTCCAAGGAGGACGGCTCAGAGCGGGCTCCCAGAGAAGCAAGCGAGGCTGGAGGCTGGTGGGCATCAGGCAACAGGGGCCACAGATCCCCTCCAGCCTCCCCTTTCACTGAGGCTCTGCCCAGCTGAGACCCACAGAAACCACCAGCCTTTGCATGCATCCTAGGGGGGCAGAGTTCAGCAGAATTCAGAAGAGCACTCACGGTCGGGAAGGAGGACCCAGTCCCTCCCTCGCTGAGCCCAGGAACGGCAGTGCCCACGCCACAGAGCTCGGCCAGATACCTGAGGGAGAGAGCCCACATCAGTCCCGGAGGGCCGACAGTGGGCAGGGGCCAGGGCAAGCTTGGCACACATCCTTGCTGAAGGACAGCACGGAGCCACGGGAAGGGGGGAGCAAGGCTCAGGGCATGGAGCAGGCCAAAATGAAGGGACTGAACGGATGACCTCTGAAGCCTGTGACCTCCCAACGCCTTCCTTTGCTGTGGACTCAGTAAGATCTGAGGCCACCTATAAAATGAAGACCACCCCTGATGACTGGCCCTAAACCGTGTGCCCCTGAGGAGCCAGACAGCCTTCAAAGGCAGTGAGTGTGGAGGGGGAAACCTGGGCGGACACACCCAACAGGTCGACAAGCCTCTGCTCCCCTCCCCACCCGTCTGGGGACACTGACATTTCGGCTGCACCAAAGGCTCCCTGGCTCAGCAGAGGACTAGTCAGTTCCACAAAGGCCAGCCATCCTCCAGCCTCCCACAGGACCAGACCTGTCCTGCACAGCCCCCACCCCCTGGTCCAGGGGTCAGTGCCGAGCACCCAAGAGGCACCACACAGAATGGGTGATTCGGGGATGCCTGGGTCACCGGCTCAGAACAACTTCACTGACCACTGAGACTGCCGGCAAGCGGCCTTAGCCTGACTGCCAGGACACCACACCAGACCGGCTTAAGTGACTTAGAACCCGAGACCATCAGAGCTGGCCAAGAACATCTCCTCCACCTCCCACCTTCTGTGGAGCGGACACCTCAGGTGCAGCGAGCACAGAGCCTGGCCCGAGGTCAGCTGGCCATCCTAGGCACAGCAGCTGTTTACAAACACCCGCAGCACCAGGACACAATCCAGCCTGGCCTTAAAGCAGATCAAGTGGCCTAGCTCCAACAGGGGAAGAGGTCTGGCCTAGAACTCTGTCCAAGGCTTCAGGTGCTTGGGCCAGGAAGCCTCAATGTCCTCCGAGCTCATTCCTAGGCTGGCACCTGCAGGGGCACCCCCACCTTAACTGGCGCCCCAACTTCTTGAAGAGAAAGCTGATGGTCAGCAGGCTCAATGTGGGCGGCGTGGAGAGGACACACGCTCGGTAATACTGCAGGTACTTCCGTAGGCCACTTGTAAAAGCCTGTGCAAAGGAACAAATATGAATTTGGGGCAGTGGCTCTACGCGCAGCTGCCCTGGGGACCCCCCACAGGGAAACACGATTGCCATCTGTAAAATGGGACTAATGACAGCCCCTGCCAGGGTTGTGGGGCGGGCAGTCAAGCACTTAGTGCAGAGACTGGCACACAGCAGGCACCTAATAAATGCTCACTCCTTCCCAGCCTCTCTGGTCTGCCTGCCTCAAGCCTCTTCCCAGTCATGCCCCAGGAGCCCCCACCATCATGAGCTAAAGATCTAACCGTGTCTGAGGCCTGGAAGGCCTCCCCAAGAGGCAGAGGCGCAAGGATCCACCTTGGATTGACCAGTTATGAAGTGAAAGCTCAAAGAGAAGCATCCTGCCCGGGGTCACCCAGTCCAGGTGTGGATGAGCTAGGACTGGACCCCCGGCTCCCGAGGTTAAGTGCAGGGCCCTCTGATAGGCAAGCCAACAGAAGCATCTCACAATGCCACACAGCCATGCGCCCACAGACAAGTGGCTCCCCGACTGCCACTGGGGATGAGCGCCTCAGAGCCGAGCATTCCAACTGTGAGGCACCCAGGGCTGGCTGGGGCCCACGGGCACCCCTGGGGAGAGAAGGAGCTGGTGGGTGAACCCTGGAAGCGGCAGAGGCAGGAAGCCTTCAGAGGAGACCACAGGGGCCAGCCTGGGCTGCTGCCGCCTGTCCAGACTCATCAAGGTCTGAGGGCACAGCCCACCATGGACCTCTTGCCCTGCCGTCCGACCCCAAGAGAACCCGTCAGCTTCCTGTCCCCTCCCCGCCAACCCATCACATCTCAGCCTTCACACACAGACTCGGGGCATCAGAGCCGCGGCTTCTGGCTAGAGTTCTCACGAGCCTGGAGTTGCTGCCAGCGCTATCAGGCTGCGTCCGGCCCTCGTACGCCTTCCAGGGAGCGCAGTGCCACCACTCCCCACACTCGCTCATTCACCTCCCAGATACCCACCCTCGGGGAGTCTGGGTCTGTCAGAATATCTCTCCTCTGGAGGAACAAAGCCCGTGACATCGAGGCTGAATCAGAAACACACTGAGAACATCTGTTCTTTTACTGATAGAATTATAATGGTGGTGGGGAGAAGGGTGAGAGTTCGAGCCTCCACCCCTAACCCCAGGTGTGTGTGTGTAGGGGGCTCCCATCTCAGGGTCCCACCGATAAAATGGGCCCCACAGAGGCAGAGCCCTCGGGGGGGCTGCTCACCTGCACCCGGCCTTCCCAGTTTGTGACCACACACCGTCCCCGAAGCCGTAAGCTTGGCATACACACCTGGAACACGAGGCCTTTGCTGTAGGAGGAATCCAGAACTGACTGGAGGGAGAAGTGGCTGAGGCGGGTGTAGTGTGTGCCGTGCTCGGCCACCTCGGACAGAAGGCTGCTCATGTTCTGTGGAGACGTTCCTGACACGTAGACGCCCTGCTTCACCTCAAACACCTGGCTGGCCTGGGCAGGCAGGGGGTGCAGGCCTTTACACAGTCCCAGGGGAGGGGAGGCCTCCCCACCACGCTCCTCCAAATATCTCAGGAAAATACTCACAAGAGCGTGGACCCAGAGCGGGAAGGGAGCTCAGCCCCTTCATTTTATGGAGGAGGAAACTGAGGCCCAGAGAGCTAAGAAGTGCCAGGCACAGGATGGTGTGCCAGCCTTCCTGACTCTGACTCCATCCACTGCACCACCCGGCCAGCTGGCCTCCCCTCCAACAAAAGGAGCTCCCTGAACAGGCCCCGCCCCGTCTGACCCCTCAGGACAGCCCAGGTGACCTTCTCAGACTGAAGGTCCAGGGAAAGCACAAGTACAAATTAAGCTCAGAATAAAAGCCCTTCTAAAAGCTGAACCGCTGAAAAACCCGTCAAAAAACATTCTCAAAAACAGAATTTCAGACCCCAGGCAAGGACGTCGCCTAGTTCAGCTCCCCCGCAATCAAGAACCCCCACAGGAGACGGCTGCCACAGCCGACCCAAAACCTTTGGCCCCTTCTCCAGGATGTGCCTCCTCAGTCCCTTTCAGACGCCCTCAGACAGTACCGGCCTCTTCTTTTTCTTTGTAGGGGAGAGACATGGGGTGGGGGGGGAGGATAGTGCTGCCCTCTCTCACCCCCTGAAAAAAAGAGAGAAGGGCACTGGAGCACTTTTTAAAATGCACAGAAAACAGAAGGAAATTGAGAAGGAAGCGCGGACAAGCAGGACAGCCTCGAAAGCAGCAGGATGAATTGATTCTGTGCTTTTTAAAGAGCCATCTCCACGGAGTAAAAAAGGCCTGCAGCATCACCTGGATGCTGGCACTGCGTCCTCCGTGGAAACGCTTGAGGGATTCCGGAGCAGTCAAAGGAAAACAAAGGGGGGGCTCCTCTGCTGGCCCGTTCCCAGCATCCTCGCTATCCTGGCTGCCCTGCTGTGAGGGGGTCATCTCCTGTCTGCCTAAATGGGTCTCCTGTCCTGGACTGAATCTGGCTACGGCTCTAGCCGTGGTCTGCCCGAGGCAGGCTGCCGGGCCCCCCTGGACCTCAGACTGTGGCTGCAATCCTGAGAAAGACCCATGACTGCCCCATACACACAGGCCTCCTCACACCAAAGAAAAGCCCCAGGCGCTCGTCCCTTTTCACCGCCCCCTACCCCCACCCCAGCAAAGGGAGCTGGGTTAGAGATCCTCTCACCTGACTGAGGGAAAAGGTGGCTGATACGACCCCGATGAGGACGTTCAGGACGTCCTTGACCAGATCCCTCTCCTTCATCAGGAACAGGGGCGGCAGCTGGAGCAGGCCGCCGTGCAGAACCTGCAGCTCCCCTTCCCGGAGGCGGTAAAACATGTCGAAGGCTTCCCTCCCGGCCTCCGTGAGGTACGGCTCCTCTTTATTCCCAGGTGGGCTGTGTGGGAGACACACTGAGAAGGCAAGCCGCCACATACCAGTCCAGTTTGTCCAGTTACTGCAAACCCCGAGAGGGAGCGCCCGCTGGGGCTGCGGGGCTCTGGGACCAAACTGGGGAGGGGTAAAACCCACCTGACAGAGCCCTGTCTCGGTGGCCAGGAGTGTCCTACTGCATGGTTTTGGCCAGGAAAGGCATCGTTCAAAGGGAGAGAGAGACCCACAAAAACTCAGAGCTGGCTCGAGCACCCTTAGCGAGCATCTGGCCCAACACTTTCATTAAGAGATGAGGAAACTGGGGCAGCTAGGTGGCACAGTGGATAGACCACTGGTCGTGGATTCAGGAGGACCCAAGTTCAAATCTGACCACGGACACATAACACTTACTAGCTGTGTGACCCTGGGCAAGTCACTTACCTCATTGCCTAGCCAAAAAAGAAAAAAAAATTTTTAAAAAAGAGATGAGGAAACTGAATCCAAGAGAGGCAAAGTTAGGAAGTGGTAGATTAATGATTGGAAGCTAGGCCTTCTCCTCCAAAGCTTTGTTTAAAGGCCTCTTCTCATCTCGATTCCCTTTCTGCATGTGGTCAGTTTATATGGCCCTAAAAACGGAAACCGAGGCCAGCGCTCCCAGGGCCTGACCAGCAGCAGGCAGTGAGGCCGCTGCCCGCTTTGCTTGGGGCTCCGGCAGACAGGTCACCATACTGCCAAAAACCACCATGAGATATTTTAAACACAAATGCATTTCTTCATCTGGGGCAGCCAAAAAACAAATTACTAAAACAGCATCACATCTTATAATCCGTTCAAATCAAAATGTGCTGTTCATTAAGGCAGGACAGTCACAGTTCATGAAGGCCTGGACAGTCGCTTCACCCCATTTGCCTCAGTTTCTTCATCTGTAAAACGAGCTGGAGGAGGAAAGTGCAAACCCTTCCAGTCTCTTTGCCAAAAAAACCCCAAATGGGGTCACGGAGAGTTGGACATGACTGGACAAATTAAAGTGAACTGAGTTCAGGTCAGAGAACAGGCAGAGATGCATCCATGACAGAGTCAGGGCACCTGGGGTTTTCACCTTTAGGGACGTGGCCTGGAAGTCTCATTGTGCTAATTACTAATGTGCTTTGCTAACGTCTCTCAACAGGGACAGGAAGAGTGAGAGGAATTGCTCATTAAATTTAACAAGGGTAATTGTAAAAATCCAGCACCTAGTTTCAAAAAACCAAGTGCATGCCCTGCCCACCAGGAACCTGAAGCAGTCTCTGGCTGAAGCCCCCAGCCCAGTGCTGGTCAGGGCTCCTCGGGAACACTGGGTAAGGACAGACCAAATGACCACATGCGGAAAGGGGGTCAGGAAGAGAAGAGGCCTTGAAACAAAGCCAGGCAGGATCAGCTCATCGAAGGCACTGGGGCCGTGCAGCCTGGAAAAGAGCCGCCTCATCCGAGGAAGGCCCTGAGCACTCCTCAAAGGCCAAGCGCCACGAATCAGCTCACTGCGCTGCTTGGACAACAGCCCCGTGAGCTAAGCAGGACAAGTGTTCTTGTGCCCAGTTTACAGATGAGGTGCTGAGGCTCAGAGAGATTATGCCCAGGGCCACACAGCCGTCAGTGAGGGTCAGATCTGGGATTCTGACACAGGCCCTGCCTGCCTTTCAGTCAGGTCCACCCAGCCTGTGGAGGAAGGCTCCAGGGGGCTGAAGCGAGCCCAGTAAGAGGTCAATGGAAGTCAGTGAGAGGCAGATCCAGCTCAGCATAAGGAAGCACCTTCTAAAGACTCATTTCATACACAAACAGGGCAATTTTGTTACTACTGAGATCAATGCAACACACCTTGACATAAAGAACCATACACCACAAGTTTACAGCTTCATATATATTCTTCTTTGTGCTTTCCAGACTGAGTCATTCACCTTTGGTGAGAATCGAGTTTGCAATAAACATAAGATTTAGATGAAATCAAAGACACAATTTCAATCCCCAAATGTTCACTGGGCACCTGCTCTGGGCAAAGCAGCACACTAGCTGCTAGTGGGGACATAGGGAAAGGCCCTGGCCCCACTGGCAGGGGCAGAAGACGATCAAGGAAGGAGCTGAGCTTGCAGAGGAGGAGGGAGCCTACTGGACCTCTGGGACCCTGCTCCCCAGCCAGAATGACCTTCTAAGTGAAGGCCACAGAAAAGTAGATAAGGGGCCTTGGTGGGAGGCAGGCTTGGGTCCTATCCAGATGGGGACATGTCCAGCCCCTGCTTCAGGCTCTAAACTGGCAGCCCGCACAGCTTCGAATCCTGCCTCTGACCACCTGCCAGCTGGGTGACTCTGGGTAAATCCCCCCCCCCCCCCCCGACTCTGTTATCTCATCTGTAAAATGGGGCGAACAAGCCTCGGGCTCCCAGCTTCACTGGCACTAGAGATTGGGGTGCAGGGCCCACATCTGATCTTGTTGGTGTACTGACACCTCCTCCAAGGGACAGAACACAGAAATAAGCAGCCCAGCCGAGGCTGAACGGCCTCATGAGGGAGAATTGCTGTCCCGAGCAAACTCTCAGCTCCAGGCCATTTCCATGGCCTGACCATCCTCACACAAGCTTCACGGCAGCAGACCCACCATGGGCTGGACGGCGAAGGAGCCTTGCTCCCCCCTCTGCCCGACCTGAGCCCGCTCCCTTCCCCAGCCCTCCCCGACACCAGACGGCAGCCCACCTACCAGCCAATTCTCTCCCAACATCTGCGCTTGCTGGGCTCGTAGGTGAGCACGGCATCCCAGAGGTCAACGTCCGGGGTCATGCTGGGCTCCGACTGGGAGTCGGGCGTCAGATTCGAGGCTGACTGGAACCCTTCATCTTCCGACTGATCGATGCTGTGAGGAACCTGCAGATCAGCAAGAGGAAGAGATCACCATCAGGGCCTTCTAGGGTCACCTCCGATCAGGCTAGAGCCGCCACAGAGGACTCTTCTGTTCTCTCAAGGATCTCACACACTACAAACACAAGCAAGGCAGGCCGGCTCTCAACAAAGGTCAGAGATAATCCTGATCTCATCCACAGAAAACACACGTGCCGACGCCCTCCCCCCAAAAGCATCATTCATCCTGAAGGGTTAAAAGCATTAGACTAAGTTCCTTGTCTTCATCTCTGTTTCCATACAGAAGGCCTCTGAATGAAAAACGGTTTATGAATCCCAAGTCGATGTTCATCGTCTGTGACTGCTTTGAGCCTCAGAGAACCCTGGCTGCGAGCAGGGGGGCCAGAGGGACATGCAAACAGCTGAGCAGGATGGAGCTCCCCCACCCTCACCCCCACCTGGCACCCTCTACTCGGAATCCCACAGGCCTGTGAGGCTACCAGGACCTATTCAAAAATGGACTCCAGAAGGAATTCTCCAGGGCAGTTAGGGGGTACAGTGGATAGAGCACAGACCCTGGAGTCAAGAGGGCCTGAGTTCAAATCTGCCCTTACTAGCTGTGTGACCCTGATCAAGTCATTTAAGCCCAACTGTCACAACAAAAAGGAATTCTCCAAAGCCGTGACCACGTGACTGCTGTGGACACCAAGCACCCTGCACGGTCACTGCAGAGGATGAGGCAGCAAGGCCAAGGGGCAGTTACTGAGGGCGGGCTGGCGCCACTAAGAGGGCAGCAGGAGACGGGCACAAAGGTCAGCCGGAGAGCACCAAGCCCATCACTGACACTGCTGTGTTCACCACACCCAGCTGAGAGCTCTGTAGGCACTCGCTCCTAGAGGGCAGGGACTGGCTCAGCTTTCTATCTGCAGTGCCAGCCCTGTGCTCCCTGCCCGGCACAGAGTAAGCACTTACTAAATCTCTCTCATTTGTTCGTTCACTGACAGAAAGGAAAGGAAGCACGGAGCCTGGGGTGCCACCTTCCCCAACCCCTCTTGATGCTGGTGGCTTTTCTTTGTTAATTATTTCCCATTTATCCTGTATATTGCTTGCTTTGTGCATGTTTGTTTGTTCTGTCTCCCCTATTTGACTGTAAGCTCCTAGAGGGCAGGCACTAATTTTTTGCCTCTTTTTGTATCCCCAATGCTTAGCACAGTGCCTGGCCCGTAATAGGTGCTTTAATGATGGATAAGGGAGTCCTGGGTGAGGAAACTCCCTCTACCAATGCAGGATAGCATCTCTTCTGCCACTTAGGAATCAGAGAGTTGGCTAGAGCCCTGAGAAGTTCATTATGTGAGTACTCAGGGTCACAAAGCTCACGGGTATTGAAGCCTGGGCATCAGCATAAACATGACAGGGTTCAGCTAAGAGCTCTCTGAGGCCCACAAACCCTGTCGGGCTCCCGTACTTGGATGGCGAGGCCCGACAAGTCGGCGTTGTCTGGAACGGGCGGCAGGTCCAGCTTGACGTCCATGTCGTAGGTGCGGCTGTGCACCAGGGCCCCAAAAAGCGAGCTGTGGGTCTCTCTCTCGAACCTGTCCACGCCGGGGTAGTTCTGTGCAAACAGCCCGATGGAGGGCAGGCCGGTGCCTGGCGCAGCCTCCATCACCCGCAGCGTCTGCTGAATCATGTCCTGGCACCGCTGCTCTTCGCTGGCGATCAGGAAGCGCGCGTCAGCCTCAAACACACTCACGTCGTAGTAATCATAGCCCTGATGCTTGACGTTCCTGCCCACGTACTTGTTGTTCAGGAAATAGTCTCTCTTCTGAGGGAGGAGCGTGGGCGGGCCGCTCCCAGCCAGGCGCACCAGGAGGTCCAGCACGGCCCGGACGTCGGCCAGCAGCAGGCCGCGGGCGGGGGCCGCCTCCAGGCCCTCCACCAGCTCCTCCAGCCTATCGGCATCACGACCCAGGCCTCCGACCCGTAAGCTGAAGGACACCATGAGAATTCTGTTCTTCAAAGGAAGCTGGGACCCAGCCGACGGCGGCTTGTGGCCCTCGTCCTGAAAGAGGTCCGTGAGAAGGCAGTCGTAGACCGCCCTTTTCAGGCCCTGCTTGGCCCTCTGCATGCTGGCAGCACGCCTGCCAGGGTGGGCCTTCCAAGGCACGTGCCCCAGGTGGGCCTCACACAGTTCATTAAACAGCTGGGTGATGCTGGCCATCTCCACAGGCGGTAACTTGGGGAAGCGGGTCTGGAATATGTCACAGGTGAGAGACCGCCATCAACTCTATGTTCTACATAGCGTCTGAAAGATACCAAGAGAAGACAATTACTCACCATGCTAGCTCTTGACCCAAGTCCCAGATCCCACAAGCACCGGACAGCCCAGGGGCACAAACGCTGGGCCATACTCTGGGATGGGGGAGACATACTAGAAAGCGGGTCCAGAGGATCTTTAGTTCAGCCAAAATTCTCTTCTAGCTGGCATCCCCCGTGCTCTTAAACATCTGTTAGGTCACCTCACCTCAGAGAAGAGAGGGCAGAGACCAGGGGGAGAAGGCTCCAGCGTGGGAAACAAAGTTAACTTGCTGACTGGCGGGTGGGGAGGGAAGGGAAGGAGGTGGGGAAAGCAGGAGGACCAGGGGGAAGAGGAGGCGGGAGGACACAGAAGAGTTTCCACCCAGAGCTGTAATAGAGGGCTGGCTACTGAGTGGCAAAGGAGGCAGAGAGGAGAGGAAAGGAAGCACATCCCACCAGGGAGATGAGACGGAAGAAGACCCAACAGTGCAGAGGGAGGGAGGGGGGCGAGCCTGAGTTCCTTCTCTCCCCCAACCCTGCTCCTCCTCCTGCCTTCCCTCTGGGGGTCCAGGGGCTCCTGAGGAGCCGGGAAGAGGCTTTTCCCACATCTTCCGTTTTGCCGGCGCTACTTCCTGTGGGGAGGGCCGTAGGGTCACTGATCCCGGGCTTGAAGGGACCTCGGAGGAGATCTAATTGATGACCCCGATTCTTCAGAAAAGGAAACTGAGGCCCGGGAGGTTGAGTGACTTGCCCGGGGGGGGGGGGGGGG